CGCCGCGCACATTCGTTGTTACAACATTGCAAGAGCTTCACGGATTGAGGGCGTGTCGCTTTCAAGATGTGTCTCTCGCTTTAGCGCCGCGCACATTCGGTTCAAACATTCGCAAGAGTTCCACGTATTGAGGACGGGTTGTTTTCCACATGTGACTCGCGCCTTAGCGCCACGTGCATTCCTGTTCAGCATGTGTAAGATTTCTACGTATTGAGGGCGGGTGGTTTCAACTTGTGGCTCTCGCCTTAGCGCCGCGCATTGTTTTTTCGTTGTTCCGTTTTTGTTTGTTGTTGCTTGTAAGAGTTTCTCGGATTGAGGGCGGGCCGTTTTTCAGAATGTGACTCTCGCCTTAGCGCCGCGCACATTGGTTTTTCAAACGTCGCAAGAGTTTCACTGCCTCTCATGGTTAACGTACCAGAACTTGTGTCTTGCAGCGATTCAAGATTTTCAGGGCGCATGAGTTACGCGGATTCGCGGTGTTGAAGTCCCAGGAATGGTGTTCTGGCGCGATTCAGGATCGCCAAGACGTGCCAGCGTTGAAGTCCTGAGAAAACTGTTCTGGCACGCTTCAGGGTTTTTCACAGGGCTGCCTCTCCCCGGGGCAACTTCCTCAGTGAAATGAACCCGTGTAAGTGCCCGTGAAGAAGGAATTTGGAGGGAGGGTGTATTCCAAAGGTCGTGTATGAGTCGGTTATTTACACGGGTCCTCCTCCACTACAATTATTCAATATGAATACTACTCTCCCTCTTCCCCTGATGACGTCTTTTGCGTATTCGCCCCCCCCACCCGCGTACTGTTTTTTTACACACGATTCCCCGGAGTTGGGTTTTCGCTTGCGTTTTTTTTTAAATGCTGCTCTCGCTGAGGCGCCGGCCTCATTTCTGCTCCCGAATCGTTCCGAATCGTGCTCCCGCTGCAGCGTGGGCCTCATTTTCGGATCGGTGTTTGGCCTCCGTCGTTCAGGATGGCGTTCTCGCCCCAGCGCGGGCCTCTGTCTCGCGCGCCCATCCGCCCGCCACCACCGCGCCGCACCACGCCCCGCCCCGCCGCACGCACACCCACCGCCACTTCCACCCACCAACGCACGCACGCACGCACGCGCACCACCACCGCGCACCGCCACCACCACCGCACTACCCCACCCACCACCACCACCACGCTACACTGCGTCACACCACATCACACGCGCGCACACACAGACACACACGCACGCACGCACGCACGCACGCACGCACGCACACACACACACACACACACATACACACGCACACACACACACAAACACGCACACACACACAGACACACACACACACCACCACCGCCACCACCACCGCCGCCATCACGCACGTACGCACCTGGCCCACCACCAAACCACCAAGACGCCCCACCACGTCACACCACAGCACACGCGCACACACGCACACACACATACACACCACCACCACAACAACCACAACCACGCACACACGCACGCACGCACGCGCACCACCACCCACTACGCACACGCGCGCGGAGCCACAGGTCCGCTACGACACGCGTCCGCGGATAGAGAAAACCAGCGCCATGGTAAGGGATGGGAGGGAGGGGTAGGATGTCAGATGTTGACGCGAGCGCACCTAACTTGTCCCCCCCCCG